GCCTGTAATCATCTTTTGATGAAGTCCTGTGTCCAGGGGCATCCATGATGGTCACATAATACTTGATGGTCTCAAATTTCCACAGGGAGTTGTCAATGGTGATACCATGCTCACGCTCGGCTTTCAGCTTGTCGAAGACCCAGGCATACTTGAAGGAACCCTTTCCCATCTCTGCAGCCTCCTCAAATTTTTCAGTGGTTTTTTTTTGTCAATGCCACTGCATTTGTAGATCAGATGGTCAGTGGTTGTGGACTTGCTGGAGTTCATGTGTCCGATGATGATATTAATGTGAGTCTCTTCCTCTCCCATGTTGGCTTTGATTTGGTGGTGGTTTTCTCCTTTTTTTTAATGATTGATTTTCATGGGGGACTTAATTCCTTTTTTCAAAAAAATTTTTATTTATTTGTGTGTGTGTGTGTGTGTGTGTGTGTGTGGCCAGCTCAGCCCACCAGGGGGCGGGGCTGGCTGGCATGTGGTGCTGGGGGATTGAACCGCGGTCCCTCTGCTTTGCTAAGCTTGTTCTAAGTAGGTGCTTTAGACCACTGAGCCATCTCACCAGCCCCTTAGTGGTGGTTTTCACTACACCTGTGTTCTCGAAGTAAACCCGTTGAGAAAAAGCTACTTGGGGAATTTTTGCTACTACTTCTGCAAATAGTCCTTTTATGTCATTTGTGTTGACTCTTGATGTTTCCTTGACACCTACCAGTTTATACTATTTTTCTTTGCATCAGTTGTTATTTCCTAGCTCCTTGTTATTTTTAAGAGATCTTTCCTTTCACCACCACTAGCTGCAATGCTGTCTTCAAGATCTGAAATTCTCTCTTCATTTTTTTTTTCAAATGGTTTTGCCAGTTTTCAATGGAATTCTTAATTTCCTGGATATCTCTTTGAATCTGTTTCATGAATACTAATTCTTTCCTGTATTGTTCATTTAATGTTTCCACCATTTTTTATGCTCCTGTATTTTTAATATGTCTTCTTTAGATGTGTTGAGCAACTCTTTGATTATTGCTGTCATTTTTTTTTTTTTTTTGTGGAACTGGGAATTGAACTCAGACACTTGCTCTTGTCAGGGAAGCACTTATTTCACTGAGCTATCTCCCTGGCCCCAGTTGTCATTTCTTTTTTAAACTATGAGATTTGTGAGCTTATCTCTTCTTTATTGCATTGGAGTTGTTCCTTTACTTCAGTTGCCATCATTTTAGAAATTTAAGGTGCACGACTTCCAAGTTTGTCTATGTCCATGTCTCCTGGATTTGTTCTGGGTGGGCGGGAAGTCTGAGATTTCTTTTTGCTCCTTCAATTTTGACATTTTCCAAAATTCTGACATTCACTAGGGCTCAGTGCCACTCCTGCAATGGTGGGGGAATGGGAGCATGGCTCACTGAGCCTCCTGAAGTGTTGCTACTGAGATGGGGGAAGTGGTTGAGTCACAGCTCACTGAGGCTCCCAAAGCTCTGTGGGGCTCACTGTGGCTTTTGTTATGGTTAGGAGTAGGGCATAGATAGCTCCATGAGGCTTTTGATGTAGTCCAGGGCTCAGTGTCACTCCTATGGTGGTCCTTATTTTAGTTTTGTACCAAGAGCATCTTTTAAGAGAAAACCTTATGTATTTTTTTAAAAGAAAACATTTGCAGTAAATTCTGTATCATTTGTAATTTTTTTGTTTTAATACTATTTTGTACTCTTTAAAAAATAAAAAAGATTTCAAAAATCTTAACCTTTTGAGCATGATCAATTATTGGGGGTGTCTCCCATAAGAAATCACTTGGGGAAATCACTGGGGGCTCCTTATCCATGTTAATGTTATTCCAGGCAGCTGTTTTTTCATCCATCAATTGGAGTCTTTTCCAATAATCTGTTCCCACTATAAGGGATTTGTGTTTAATTATATTAACAAGTTTTGATGACCTTTCAGAAAACCAAATTTGATCCAATTCTAAACAGCTGGCAGCCCAGGTTAAACCATACTTTTAAATCTATAAACTAAATTAAAATATGAATAAATGACCCAAAAATGCAAAAGGAAAAGAGAAAAAATTGTTGAGTTCGAATAAAAAAGAACAGCAGCTCATAGAACAGACAGACAAATACACATGTGCACAGCTTAACAGATTGGGCAAACAGACAAACCTCTTGCAAAAATCAGTGCACTCAAATATAGTTTGGACTAAATTGAATTACAATAACTCCTGTAATTTTTGGTCATATTTTAAACTTTTTTTCCCTGTATTTAGGACAGGGTCTACAGGGTCTCACTACATAGATCAGACTTGTAGTTATTCTCCTGTTTTCAGCTTTCCAAGTGCTAGGATTATAGGTGCATGCCACCACGCCCAGTCTCAATTGCTGTCTCAGAGTATCCCATGGGTGGGGCTGGCACAGCACACCAGGGATTGAACCCCAGCCACTGCGCTCTGCCTAAGGAGGTGCTTTAGTCTGCTGAGCTATCTTGCCCACTCAATAAAAACTTCTTGGGCTGGGGAGATGGCTCAGTAGAATAAGCACTTCCCTGGCAAGCACAAGGACCTGAGTTCAATCCCCAGTTCCGAAAAAACAAAACAAAACAAAAACCTTCTTAAATCGGTAGCATATACTTTCTATGATGTTAAGAAGAAAAATATATGCAGGGACCGCGGTTTGGTCCCTAGCACCACATGCCATGCTGGCCCAGCCCCCAGGTTGTTCTGAGCTGGCCACCAAGATCAGGCATGATGGTGCACACCTGTAATCCCAGCTCTGGGGATGGTGAAAACAACAGGATCACTATGAGTCCAAGCTGCATAGTGAGACCCTGTGCCAAATACATTAAGAAAAAAAAAAAAAAAAAAAAAAAAAAGAAAAATGTAGGGCTAGGGAGATAGTTCAGAGGTCTAAGTGCCTGCCTGGCAAGTTCAAGGAGCCCCATTAGATCTCTGGTACTGCATAGTGTGCTGGCCCTGGAAACTTGGGCATGCCATGCCAGCCTTGAAACTGGGCATGGTGGTGCATGCCTGTAATCCCAGTGCTGGGCAGGCTGAAACAGGAGGATCACTATGAGTCTGAGCTGCACAGTGAAACCCTTTACCAAATAAATAATAAACGATTTTAAAAGTTAGTATCACATGACAGGGTTGCCTAGAAACACACTAATGGCTTGCCCCAAGTGCTATTTGTTCTGGGACTGGCTTTGCTTTGCCCCCACACATGTGACTACTTTCCAGCTTCAGGGGCTCTTTATACTTCCTTAAATAGAACACCAATGTTTAATATGTACTTTCATTAATCACTGTGTATAGTGTCAAAATAGTGCCAAATGTAAATGTCACACACCTCTATTGCAGAACTTCCTAGGGGCTAAAATGGACAAAGACAGAAACAAGGATAACTGTAAATGAGGACAAAGCCCAAACCATAAATGTAACTCAAATTCTCACTTTCTCAGTATTATGAATGATTGATACTTTTCTTTTGTCTTGTGTGTCTTTGTTCAATTCCTAGTGCCTTCATGTTGAGCTATATCCCTGGTTTTCTAAAAAATAAAAACTTTTAACTTTTAAACATAGGCTGTAAACATAGGTGTAGGCAGAGATTTCATGAACAAAATCCAAACCACATGGGAAATACTTCAAAGAATCAACTGTGGGGAGAAACCCAACAACTGAGCTCTCATTTTATTGAAAAATCTTTGCATATCAACAGGAATCACCAAGAGAGAAAAGAAACTGCAGAGTGGCAAAAGCTTTTAGTCAACTATCCCTTAGACAAAGGACTTACATCTACACTTGATCTTAGCCAAAAGGCCGAGAAACGATAGGACTTACATCTAGAACATATAATTTTTAAAAATCAGGCCCCCAAAATTCAAAGACCCATTAAAAATGGACATTTGAGATGCATATGCACTCCTCAGATGAAGAAATACAAAACTGAATATATGAAAATGAATAAAAGAAAATGTTCAATATCATTAGTCATTCAAGAATTGCAAATTAAAACAACACTGAGATTCCATCTCATCCCAGAAAGAATGACTATCAGGAAATCAACCAGTAACAAATATGGGAGGGGCAGTGGGGAAAAAGGAACACTTCTCCACTGTTGGTGGGAGTGTAGACTGGTACCACCACGGTGGACATAGTTTGGAGATGCCTGAAAAAACTAGGATTTGAGGTCCCATTCAATGCAACTATTCCCCTCCTGGGTATATTTCCAGAATTGAAAATATCATACCACAGGGATATATGTGCACCCACGTTTACAGCAGCACAATTTGTGATAATTAAATCTTGGAAATAGCCCATTTACTGAGGAATGGATAAAGATGTGGTCTTTTTCATACAATGGATTACTACTCAGCTATAAAGAAGGATAAACGAGACTTTTATGGTTAATGGATACCACTTAAGACCACATCAGACTTGCAAGTTTAAACATTGCATGGTCTTAGTGTAAAAAACTGAAAGTAAGACCCAAAATGTACAACAGATATTGTGAAATGAGATGAAACAGTTCAAAAAGAAAGGAAAACTGGGATGGGGAAAGGATAAAAGGAAAGGAAAAGGAAAAATTATAAATACAAGATAGTGAAGATAGTTATACTACTAATTTATTTTTTCTTTCTGTATGGGGAATTGAACTCACGATCTTACACTTGCCAGGCAGGTACTTGTGCCGCTGATTTCCCCAGCTACACTATTGATTTCTATTCAGTAAAAAAGATTTGTGCTTGTATCATTTGATCAACTTTTCATGCCTACATCTTGTATTCTGAGCTTTGAAGATAATAATATACAATATATTAAGCAATGTTACTCTTTGTTTCGAAAGTTTGTATTTTCTTTTCTTTAAAAAAAAAAGATATGAGGGGCCGGGGAGATAGCTTGGCAGTCTAAGTGCCTGCTGGGCAAGCACAAGGACCTGGGTTTGATCCTTGGTACCATATGCTATGCTGGCCCTACACTGTGCTGGCCCCTGAAACCAGGTGAGGTGACACATGCCTACAATCCCAGAATTTGGGAGGCTGAGACAAGTGGATCATTATGAGTCCAAGCTACATACCAAGACCCTGTACCAGGTAAATAAATCTAAAGAGAAGAAAAGAAAAAGATAGGGTCAAGTTGATCATTTGACTTTCGAATTTGTGATCCTCCTGCCTCAGCTTCCTTGGGTGCTGGGAATACAAATGTGCATCATTGCCCTATTTGGCAGTTCTTACGAAGAGTTAGCTCCTGTTCCTTTTATTTACAGAAAAAAAAACCCTCATCATTTCTAATGATAGATTTATGTTCACCTTGTAGTAGTAGGATGGATATGCTTTGCCTCCTTGAATAGTAAAACATCACCTATGGCAAGTGCAAATAATGGAAAATCACCTATTTGGCACTTTTAAGTTGGCAAGTCCAGTTGTTCTACATTTGTGAACATTATTGCTACAATTTATTATTCACTTTTCTACTTGTGTGACCTTTCTGATCTTTGGTAATAGGGCAGAAACAGAATTATGGCTTACATTTTTAGTTTTAATCATGGATGAACAAAACTGTTTAATCACAAAATCTGTTAGGTATAAAAATGAATCTGGTGATGAGCTAGAATGTAAGATCAACTTCACAAAATAACAGTGTTGGCCTGAACATCCATATATGCAATGGTATGTTTTAATATAAGCTCTCAGGAAATGGAGAAGACAGTAAAATTGTTAATGTACAAGTTGTCTGAAATGTTAATACAATTTTCTAAGAAATATTTACAGCTTTTGCTTCACAAGAAAAATACATATTGGTTTTAATTATAAACAATTGTACATGGAAAGGTACTAAGGGAGTGAATTCAGCATTCATAGGAATCCAGAACTGCCTGATGAAAGTGATTACTCCTACATGGATGGAGTGGGGTAAGGCAGTCATTGTATAACATAGTAGGAGAATCAATTTTTTTTTTTGTTTGTTTTTTGGGTTTTTTTTTTTGGTCTCACTGGGCTTGAATTCATATGTAGCACAAGCTGGCCTTGAACTCATGGGTCTTGGCCCTATCTCAGCCTCCTGAGTGTTGGTATTAGTCATGTACCACTATACCCATTGTCTTGTATTTTTGGGACATGGTCTTTGTAGTTCAGGCTGGCCTTGAACTATGTAACCTAAACTGGCCTTTACATTGTAGTAATCTTCCTGCTTCAGCCTCCTGAGTTCTGGGATTACAGGCATGTGCCATCATTCCCAGCTGTTTTTCTTTTGCTGTGCTGGAGATCAAACCCAGGGCCTTGTGCACACTAGGTACTGTCCACCACTAAGCTGCAGGTATGGTCAGTGGTAAAGCACACAATCTGCAAGGCCCTAATTTCCATTCCTAAAACTTCCAAAAAAGAACCAGTGGTATGTTTGAGTTTCATAACATTTCTTTCATGTTTTTGAGTCATTGTATGTTGTTATAGCACATATCTAACCATCTCCCCAAAGCCTCAGGAACTTCTGCTCATAGATGAGGATTTTTAGAGGTGACTGGGTCTAGAGTGTGTGATTATGGATTAAGAGTGCATTAGTCCTCTAGCTGGGTCACCACAGTTCTGGATATGGCTGACTGGATTTACTGGAGGTCCTACCCTGAGTTTGGGCAGCTCCCATCAATAGACTCTTAGCTTGGAATATAAAAGAACAGAAAGAAGGCAGGCTCTGCTGCTTCCTGTCTGCCTTCCAGAGGATGTTTCTCCCATACCATGGAATTGACTATGGACTGAAACCTCTGCACATTGTGAAGTAAAATAAACCTCTCCTTTTAACTTGTGGGTATTGAGTGTTTTGTTCCAGCAATGAGAAAGCAACTAAGACATATAGGAATTACTTCACATCTAGCATCCTATATTATCTGTAAGATCTTTCCACAGTGGGATATGACTGAAAACCATTTAAACAGAAAATTTCAAAAAAATTCCCCCATTGTCACTCACTGGGTTTCTACCTACTGTGCAACTTCACATGTTTATTTAAGGATGTGGACAAAGTAAAACCTTTTCCACATTGCTTACATTCAAAATGTTTCTCTCCACTATGAGTTCTTTCATGTCTTTGAAAAGAACTGCGAAGGCTAAAGGCCTTTCCACATTGTTTACACTTATAGGGTTTCTCTCCTGTGTGCATTCTCATGTGTCCTTGAAAGCTTGTGGGGTAAATAAAGGCCTTGCCACACTCCTTACATTCATAGGGCTTCTCTCCAGTGTGAGTCCTTTCATGTATCTGAACATAACTAGAGCAACTGAAAGCTTTCCCACACTGTTTACATTCATAAGGTTTCTCTCCAGTATGAGTTCGCTCATGTGTTCGCAATGCACTGAGGAAAATGAATGCCTTTCCACAATCCCTGCATTTATAAGGCCCATCTCCAGTGTGTGTTATCATGTGCCTTCGAAAGTTTTCAAGAGAAATGAAAGCTTTTGCACATTCTTTACATTCATAAGGTTTTTCTCCAGTGTGATTTCGTTCATGTATTTGCAAATCTAGAGGATAGTTGAAGGTTTTCTTGCACTTTTTACATTCATAGGGTTTTTCTCCTGTGTGAGTCCTTTCATGTACCCGACAGTAACTGAGGCGACTGAAAGCTTTTCCACATTCTTTGCATTTATAGGGTTTCTCTCCAGTGTGCACTCGTGTATGTACTCGGAAGGCAGGGCGAGCACTGAAGGCCTTCCCACATTCCTTACATTTATATGGTTTCTCTCCTGTGTGAGTTCTTTCATGAATCTGAATGGAAGTAGAGCATCTGAATGCTTTACCACATTGTTTACATTCATAGGGTTTCTCTCCAGTGTGAATTCGTTCATGTACACGTAAAAAACTAGGACGAATGAATGCCTTCGCACATTCTTTACATTTATAAGGTCTATCTCCATTGTGTGTTATCATGTGTGTCTGAACACTTGTTCGGGAAATGAAGGCTTTCCCACATTCCTTACATGTATAGGGTTTCTCTCCAGTGTGGGTTCTTTCATGGATTTGAATAGAACTGGGACAGCTGAAGGCTTTCCCACATTTCTTACACTCATACGGTTTCTCTCCAGTATGAATCCTTTCATGAATTCGAAGAGAACTTGGAGAACTGAGGGCTTTCCCACAATGCTTACATTGGTAGGGTTTCTCTCCAACGTGTGTAAGTTCATGTGTTTGAAAAGGCTGGTGATATATGAAAGTTTTTCCACACTGTTTACACTTATAGGGGTTCTCTCCATTGTGATTCCTTTCATGTCTTTGGAAGGATTTGAGATAACTGAAGGTGTTCCCACATTCTTTGCATTTATATGGCTTCTCTCCATATCGAAACCCATCAAGTTCATGTCCAGGGTGAGACTTAATGTGTCTAGTAAGGGATGAATGAAGCATGAAGCTCTTTCCACAAATACTACATTCATATGGTTTTTCTCCAGTGGTTTTCTTGGTCCTAGTAGGATCTGAAATCTGGCTGCCGTTTTCTCCATACTGACAACTTTCTTTACTTTCATAGAGTCTCTGTATCAAATAACTTCTGCAAAAAATTAAAGGCACATTAAAAAAGATTATTATTCTGTTTATTAACAGGTATTAGACTGATATTTTAATCATTTTTGGAGAGACTATGTTTTCTGTCCTGTTTGAATTATTTGAAAGTGAATATACTCAGTGTGCTGCACTAAGGACACCCTATTGCTATTATAAAAACAATCATATTCATGCTGAGAATACTGATGCATATCTACAGTTTTATCTAGTATGGAGGCTGAGGTGGGAAGATCACTTGAGCCCAAAGTTTGAGACCAGCCTCAGCACAACAAGTTTTCACCCCAAAATATACAAACATATAATTTGTTTCACTTATACTATTAAGTTTCTGAGGGCCAACCAGATAACCCAGTGGATTAAAGTGCCTGCTCAGGCAGATGCAGGGAACGGGGTGTGATCCCTGGTATACCATGCTGGCCTCGCCCCCAGGGCCAGCATGACATATGGCACCAGGGATCAAACGTGGGTCCTTGCACTTGCCAGGCAGGCACTTAAGACTACTGAGCTATCTCCCTGGCTCTATTTTGTATTTTTGAGACAGGGTTTCATTATGCAGTTTAGGGTGGCCTTGAACTCACTTTGTAGCTCACACTAGCCTTTAACTCACAGTGATCCTTCTGCCTTAGCTTCCCACATGTTGTGATTGTAGGCATGAGCCACCATGCCTACCAGTATGGAGTTTCTTTTTTTTCAGTACCAGGGATTGAACTCAGGACCCTGCACTTGCCCGGCAAGTGCTTATTCTACTGAGCTATCTCCCTGGCCAGTATGGAGTTTCTTAATACTGCTTCCAAGTAAAATATTTTTCAAACATTCAACATTGTTTTCACTTAAGAAAATATTTTGCGGTGAAAATTTCCAAGAACAATTAAATTTGAGGCTAGGTTTTCTTTGGCTTGCTTACTTTTCAAATTCCATAGGGAGCCAGGGAGATAGCTCAGTAGAGTAAGTGCTTGCGTGGCAAGCCCATGGGCCTGAGATCAATCCCCGGTTCCTCCAAAAAAAAAAAAAATCATAGTAGGTCAGGTATGGTGGCCCACACCTATAACCCTAGCACATGGGAAGTTGAGGTAGGAGGATCACTGTAAGTTTTAGGTCAGCCTTAGCTACTTAGTAAGTCCAAGGTTAACCTAAAGTGCATAGTGAGACACTGTCTCAAAAAAAAAAATTCATAGTAATTTTTACACTAACATAGTCCACATATGATGATTCTTTCAAGAAATGCTAATTTCTCTAGTATGTATAACTCACCTTAGATTTCTTTCCTGTTTTTTGTACTGATCTTTAATGTTCTGGTCTTCCCATTTGCTTCCTAAAATGAGATACATAAAATCTTATAAATTATTAGAAATCATAGAAACATTATTAACTGCTAGGTCACTGGTGAAAAACTTATGGCATGTATGACTCAGTGGATTATTTGTTATCACTGAACGCTGTAAAAGTTTTTTTTTTTTTTTTTTTTTTTTTTTTTTTTTGGCAGAACCAGGGATTGAACTCAGGCCCTTGTGCTTGCCAGGGAAGCGCTTATTCCACTGAGCTATCTCCCCGGCCCCGAAAGCTGTAAAAGTTTCACTACCACTGTACTAGGTCCACAATGAGGTCTGGTGTATTCAATCAACACATTTACTCTTCACATTCCGATTTTTTTTTTTTTGCCAGTTTTAATAGTACATGTTTATAGTACATAATTATCACATTCAGAGCTGGGAAGATAGTTCAGTGGTCTAAGCACTTGCCTGGCAAGTATAAGGACCTGAGTTTGATCCCCGGTATCACATGCCATGCTGGCCCCAGAACCCTGGGTGAACTGGGTGTGGTGGTGACCACTTATAATTCCAGCACTGGAGGGGTTGAAATGGGAGGATCACTACGAGCCTGAACTGCATAGCAAGACCCTGTTATCAAGTAGATAAATAAATAATTTTTGTAAAAAAACAATTATCACATTCATTGTGGGGCACTGGTATATGTACATAACACATCTTAAATCTTTTTATGTCTTCTCCTCTTTCCCTCACCCTGCATCTCTTCTACCCTTTCCTTTTTTTTTTTTTTTTTTGACAGGGTCTCACTACATAGTGTGGGCTGGCCTCAAACTTAAGATGATCCTTCTGCCTCAGCCTCCCGAGTATTGGGATTACAGGCTTGCCCTGCTACCCCTGGCTTTTTCCTTTTGTAAAAGATCTATGTTCCATTTTCTACATTCTAAAATGGTAACAGTAATGATGAACAAGAAATACTTTGTCTCTGATTGGCTCAGTAAAAGGATGATGTCATCCTTACCTATATAGGCCAGGTTCCTGAAGGTTTCCTGCATCACATCTCTGTATAGCTTTTTTTGTAAAGGATCCAGTAGAGCCCACTCCTCATGGCTGAAGTCCACAGACACATCCTCAAAGGCCACTGAATCCTAAAATATTCCACACATTTATACAAGAGGAATGAGATCAACAGTACTTGGGATCTATACTCAAAGTAACAAGTTCACATACAATTCTGTGATTCTGTGATCTCCAAACATTTACGATATGGTTTGGTTGTCAGAAGTTTTACTCTTTGTCCAAAGTCACTTCTTTAAGTTTAACAGCAGCCAGAACACATGAACTTGGGGCTGGGAAGATGGCTCAGTAGAATAAGTGCTTCCCTGGCAAGTGCAAGGGCATGAGTTCAAGCCCCGGTTCCGCAAAAAACAAAAACAAAAACAAAACCAACCAAACAAAAAACCCCCCACAAATTTATATTCCCCTCCTTTTGTGTTACTGGGGATTGAACCAAGACCTTTGATTAGTCCTGTCTCTGATCTTTTTTATTTATTTTGTTAAGTTACTAAGTTGCCAGATCTTGGCTTGAACTATGATCCTCCATTTTCAGCCTCCCAAAGTGCTGGTATTATAGGCGTGCACTATGGAACTTGGTTTATTTCTACTTTTCTTTCCCCTAGTGCTGAGGATTGAACACCAAGCTTTCACACTGGGATGTCTTCCCAGCGCTTTTCAACTTTTACATTGTGTTGATGACCATGGAGAGCACTTATGTAAAATGGAGGGCCAACTGATATACTCCACTGCCTTTTCCTGGATGTTTTAACTTGACTAAGACTAGCAATTTAAAATACAATTTTCAGAAAATTTATTGATTATGGATTTGCACTTGAAGCCTAAAACAGAAATTAGTAGTTTTCATGAAGCAAAAAATAGGCATAAAAAGCCCAAGATACCATAATCATGAGAATGAACCCATGGGCTCAAACCTTAAATATAATTCCAGGGCCCTGTGGGGAGGTGTATGTAGGGAGTAGCTCAGTGGTAGGAGTGCCTGCCCAGCATGCATAAGGTTCCTGGCTTTCACTCTTAGCACTTCCAATAGAACAGGACAGAACAGAACAAAACAACAAACAAAATGAAAAGCAGGGCTGGTGAGATGGCTCAGTGGTCTAAAGCACCTACTTAGAACAAGCTTCGCAAAGCACAGGGACCATGGTTCAATCCCCCAGCACCACATGCCAGCCAGCCCTGCCCCCTGGTGGGCTGAGCTGGCCACACACACACAAACACACATAAATAAATAAACTGAAAATTTATTTAATTTTTTTTTTTTTTTTCCCCGGGACCGGGGATTGAACTCAGGGCCTTTCGCTTGCCACGGAAGCGCTTATTCCAGTGAGCCATCTCCCTGGCCCTTGAAAATTTATTTAAAAAAAAAAAGAAAAGCAAATTAGTCAGGTATGGTGGTGTAAAGCTGTAAGGAAGGCAAGGCAGGAGGATTTCAAGTTGGAGCCCAGCCTGGGTAACTTAGCTGGTTAGTAAGACTCTGTCTCAAATGAACAATAAGAAAAGGACTGGGGAATGTAGCACATTGTGAAGGCTTTGAGGTCAACCCCTAAGACTGAAAAAGAAAAAGAAAAAAAGTTCAGAAAAGAACACAAATTGTACATGTTTGTAAATTGTACATGTTTGTTTGTAATCTCTGTTTCATTTCAGAGTTATGGCATCAAAAACTGTGAACAAGGTTGGTATATAACTAGAGAAGACTGCCTACATCAACCTACTATCATGGTTTTTGTTTTGTTTTGTTTTGTTTTTCGGAACCAGGGATTGAACTCAGGCCCTTGTGCTTGCTAGAGAAGCGCTTATTCCATTGAGCCATCTGCCTGGCCCATGTGTATCTTAAAAAGAAAGGGTAAAGCCTGGGGTATAGGGCAGCAGGGAAGCACTAGCCTAGCATTCATGAGGCCCACGGTTTCACTCCAGCAGCATCAGGGGAAGAAAAACATTAAAAGGGGGTGGTAAATAATTGTAAGAAAATGGAGCTGAGCTGGTGCATGTCTATACTCTAAGCACTATGCGAGGCCTTAGCAGGAGGATCATAAATTCCAGCCTAGTACAGGCAACTCAGTGAGATCCTGCCACAAAATAAAAATAAAAAGGACTAGAGATACAGCTCAGTGTGAAGGCCCAGGGTTCAATCTCTAATACTGCCAAGAAAGAACAGAACAGAATAGAATAGAACAGCCCAACTTGGGCTCAGTGGTGGAACAACACCTGTCTTGCATGTGTGAGAGGCTCTGAGTTTAATCCCCGGCCCAGATAATACAAAATAAAGAAAAACAACAACAACAAAAACAAAAACAAAAAACCCCAAACAACAAAATGTAGTATATGGGAGTGAAAGGCTCATTGTACTTCATCCCTCATGAAAGAACAAATATAATGCCCCACTTTTCAGTATAATCTCAGCACTCAGGAGGCTAAGGCAGGAGGATCACTGTGAGTTTTAAGCCAGCCTGGCCTACATAATGAGATGCTGTCTCAAAAAACCAAAACCAACCAAACAAAAAACAAAAGTAACAACAAAGAAAACAAAAACGGGCTGGGGAAATGGCTCAGTAGAATAAGCACTTCCCTGGCAAGTGCAAGGGCCTGAGTTTGAATCCTGGTTCTGCCAAAAAAACAAAACAAAACAAAAAACAAAAACCAAGAAAACAAAAACAAAACAAAACAGACCAGATCACATACAGAGTATTTTCTAGGCATTCACAGAATGGTATAATTTCTATGGAGTTGGGTGTTAAGTGAGACCACAGAAGTAAGTCCACAGTAATCCACAATGAGGCACTGTTCACTCTTTTCAAGTTAAGAACAGTAGAAGCCATGCTATTAAGAAGCAGGAGTGGGCTGGTGAGATGGTTCAGTGGTCTAAAGCACCTACTTAGAACAAGCTAAGCTAAGCAAAGCACAGGGACCGCGGTTCAATCCCCCAGCACCACATGCTAGCCAGCCCCTGGTGGGCTGAACTGGCCACACACACACAAAATAAATAAATAAATTAATTAAAAAAAAAAAAAAAGAAGAGAAGCAGGAGTGGAGCCAGATATGGTGGTGCATGCCTGTGATTGTAGCACTTAGAGGGCTGAGGCAGGAGGATTCCTATTTAAGTCTAGCCTGGACCATATAGCAAGACCCTGCCCCACCCTCTCCCCCAAAAGTAGTTTTCAGGATTTGTGGAGATACCCAATTGTCAGCTTGTACAGTGACTTGTTCCAAGCCCCAGAAAGTAACTCTTAGAAACCTTATAGTCCCAGGGCCTGGGAGATGGCTCAGTAGAGTGCTTCCCTGGCAAGCGCAAGGGCCTGAGTTCAATCCCCGGCTTCGCCAAAAAAAAAAAAAAAAAGAAAAGAAAGAAAGAAACCTTATAGTCCCAAATGTGCAGTTACCTGGATTCTAGACAGGTGCAGAACATCCATAATGAAACCCCAATTGGAGCAAACCCCATGAAGGAAGCTGAGGCCACTCCAGTGTGGAAGCTGTTATCTCACAATGGGAGACAAACTACCTCCCTGCACTTCAAATGTTTATGGGTGCTCCAGAACCTCAGAATCAGTCTTGAGATCCTGATCAGACTACCTTGAGACCGCATGTTTTTTCATTGTGGGTGATGCAACACCCCCCCTTTTTTTTTTTTTTTTTAAATAAAACAGGTTTCTGTCAGCAACTAAAGACAGTGATATGTGTGTGTGTGTGTGTGTGTGTGTGTATTGTGCATGTGTACATTAGGTGTGTGTTTGTTTTGAGGTCTCATTATATAGTTTAGTCTGGGCTTGAATTCACTATATAGCTCAGGTTGTCCTCAAACTAATGGAGATCCTTCTGCTTCAGCCTTCAAAGTGCTGGGATTTGAAGACTGTTGTTGAATCTCTTTTCCTGTTCTTTCCAGCTTGGCCATTCTGGAGTAAAGCTCCTTTCCTGCCCCACATGTCTACTATTCTCCTTGTCTGGAATTTTGGGATGAGTGGCAGAGCCTGGTTTGTTGGGAGCTTTCACCCTAATATTCTGGTAACAAAAACAGCTCAAACAAGCAGTGAATCTCATTTTCCCACTGTTCACAAGGTAAACCCCTACCTAGAAGTTAAATTTAGGCTGGGTGTGCTAATACACATCTGTTAGCACTCTGGGAGGCTGAGCTGGGAAAATCACAAGTTGGAGCTCAGCCTGGACAAATTTGTGATTTAGTAAGACCTTGTCTCAAAAAATAAGCAACTCACTGTGAAAATCATGGGGTTCAAGCACCATCAATGAAAACAGGAAGAAAATATACTCCCAAGTGTTACGGCTTGTAGCTAGATGTTTCCCCAAAGCCTCAGGTGCTCACAGGTGGGGAGTTTTGAAAGTGGCTTGACTAGGGTGTGTGAGTGTGGATTAACGGTATGATGCTGGGATTAGGAGTGTGGATAATGGAGGCTCCACCCTGGGTGTGGGTGGCTTCAATCAACAGGCTTGAAGCCAAATAGAACATAGAAGGAGACAGTAGGCAGGCTTTCTGTCTTCTTGCTTGCCAAGCCATGAGCTGTTTCTCCTCTAAACCCCCCCTCTGCCAGGCTGTCCTGGTGTTGGGTATTTTGTCTTTGCAATGAGGAAAGTAAGATATCTCAAGTTCTGGTATAGTGAGGTTCTCTCAGCTTGAGAAGTACACACCCTGGGCTGTGTCAGCCCCTCATGATGCTGGACAGGGCCTGAGCTGAAACTGCATGAGCCCCATTCTCTCCTCTTCTCAGCATCCCATTCTTGCAGTGAGGAAACTGCACCGGATACAGGGGATTTTTATGTTTCCTTGGAGCAGTGGGGATGGAACCCAGCACCTATCACACGTCAGGCCAAGTACTCTACTACTGAGCTGCAGGCCTCGCCAATTCCACCAGATGGAGACTGAAGCTCTGGCTCAAATGAACTCCCAAGTGCATTCCTCTAAGTCCCGGGAATACAAGTCCTGATCTTCACAGACTTTCCCAAAATGCACAAATACATCTTTATCACAGATGTAAAACTATATACTGTCTAAAAACAGGCCAAAGAAAACTCTATTAAAACCTCAGAAAGGTGGCAGATATCTTTAACTGCAAGACTTGGAGGCTGAGGCAGGAGGACTGCCATGAATTCAAGGTTGGCCTGGACTTCATGGTGACTTCAGGGTCAGCCTGAGCTACATAGTGAGACCTTGTCTAAAAAAAGCAAAAAGCCCAACAAAACAAAAACCAGAATGAAACTTCAAACAGGTAGTGTACACTTGTCATCCCATTTCTTTGGGAAGGCTGAGGCAGGAGGGTCATCTGAATTGAAGAATTCAAGACCTATCTGGGCAACAAAGCAGCTCAGTCTCAAACAAAATGAAATAACCCCAAAGCTTCACAAAGGGCTTTATCCTCCGGTACTTCCCAGCTACGCGGACATGTGTATCCCCAGCTGCCAGTGCTGGGAGGCCTCTTGCGGTACACGGGCTCTTCTGTGATGATCGCTGAGTGCTGAGACACTTGCTGGGGGAGGCTCTTCAGGAAGAACCAATGGGGCCTTCAATTACTTTCCTCTCTGGGCTTAAAGTATGGCTTTAGTTGGGCCTGGTGGCTTAGCCTAATCTGCCACTCTGATAGGCTGAGGCAGGAAGGTCATAAGTTCAAACCTAGCCTGGGCAACCTAGAGCTTTAATGAATCCTAATCTTAAAATTAAAAATAAAAAAGTGGGGCTGGGAGATGGCTCAGTAGAATAAGCACTTCCCTGGCAAACGCAAGGGCCTGAGTTCAACCCCCAGTTCCACAAAAAAAAAAAAAAAAAAAAAAAACCCAAAAAACAAAAAACAAACAAACAAAAAATACAACCAAACAAACAAAAAAAGGGCTGGGGTACAGCTCACTGTGTGGGGTAGGAGGAAGAAGAAACTCACACATTTGTGTTGCTTTCAGAAAACGAAGATGTTGGTTAGTGATTTCCACTGCAAAATGCAGTTTACTAAACTATTAAAGTATTCATCATATTTGAACACGGGTACAGATTCCCCCCCCCCCCCCCCGGAACCGGGCATTGAACTCAGGCCCTTGTGCTTGCCAGGGAAGTGCTTATTCCACTGAGCCATCTCCCTGCCTCCCCATGTACAGATCTAAACTATGATAGAATTACAAGTCCAACCCAAGGCACTTCATATGAAATCACAAAAATAAAAGAGTGTAGCTTAAGTGGCGGAATGTGTATTTTTGCACGTGAAGGGGCCTGTTATGGTTTGGGTCTAGTTGTCCCCCTAAGCCCTCATGCGGTCATGGGGTGGTTTTGAGACAGGGTCTTTCTTGAGTTTGTGATTAACTCATGATCCACTGCAATATAAGAGAGACAGACAGACTCTCTCTGTTGTCACTGCTGTTGTTCTGCCGCCATGAATGGATGCTCTCTTCCCTGTGCCACTCTGCCTTGGAGCCAGCTGAGTATAGACTGAAACCTCCAGGGATTGTGAGCTAAATAAGCCTTTTATTCCTTCGTTTTGGGTGTCGGGTATTTGTCCCAGCAACGAGAGAAGAGTACCTGAGACAAGGCCCGTCTCTATCACCCAAAATACATAAAATAAGTCTTTGATTTATAAACAATTAAATTATAAGTTTTTCTGTACCAGGGATCAAACTCAGGACCTTGCACTTACCAAGCAGGCACTTATGCCACTGAGCTATATCTGTGGCCCTTTGAATTGTAAATTTTACCAGATACAAGTGGATACAAATTTGTTCTCATTATGAACATGGGAACAAATTGTGGAAGTAACTCACATGTTTGCCAGACATTGTCACAGCTGTGTTGCTATGTGTTATGTACAAGTAAAAATAATTTAATTACAGTATTTTTTGTGTGTTTGGTTTACAAACATCTGACTTACAAATTTAACCACAAACCTATATGCTAAAAAGAACAAATGGAAACAAATTTTTAATACATGCAATGTAATACTGAAACATTTATGTCTTTATTTGCAGGGCTGGGATTGAACCCAGGGCCTTGCATAAAATAGCAAGTGCTCTACCACTGATATATCTCCTCATACCCAGAAAATATTATTGCTATATTGTACAGATTTGCCTCTTGGGACATATTTCACAGTCTCCCAAGCTCTACTCACTCCTTACATGTAAACATCTATTGAAAAAATTGAGACTCAAGAGAACAAATATTTGCAAGGTCACAAAGCCAAGTGAGGGTGGTGCTGAGCTGGAGGCGTGCTTACAGCACAGATCATCTAGGAAAGTTTGCAGAGGTACCTCAGGCCAAAGAAGTTCTGCCCAGGAAAGAAACTGAGGCAGAGACACAGAGCATATACAGTGGAGCTTGAGATGTTTATTTATTGCTTTTCTCTCAGAAAAAAAATTTCTGTAGGAAACAAATGTTTCAGTAAAAGACGTCCATGTCTGTGAAAATGGTTATTAAAATAATGTCGGTAACTAGATGTGGTGTCACATGCTTGTTATCCCAGTACTTAGGACTGCGGCAGGAGGATCACCACAAGTTTGAGGCCAACGTGGGCTACACAGTGATTCGAAGGCCAGCCTCGACTATCTAGAAAGACCCTGTCTCAAAAACAAAACGAGGGCTGGGGAAATAGCTCAGTAGAATAAGCGCTTGCCTGGCAAGGACAGGGTCCTGAGTTCAATCCCCAGTACCACACACACACATAAAAACAAACAAAAGACACAAAACGACCCCCTCAAACAAACAAACAAACAGAATAACATACTGAGACTACGTGGTTTATTTTATAGGAGAAATCTAAAGTATAAATACAGAGTAAAAATAAACGATATATAATCGCAAACAGGAAGACAGATTCTTTGCAAATGTGGACGAAGGAGATCAAGGGATGAAGGTGGGGAAAGAAAACATTAAATGCATTAAGACGTGTCATGCATACGCACCAACTACCTACGACGAAATCAGTAGGTACTCAAACACATACTAACCAAATCAAAATAAAATAAAGTAAAATACTGAGTGTTTCAAATACACCCCATGGGCAAACAGGGCTAAGGACGTTTTGTCTTTTTTTTTTTTTTTTTTTTTTTTTTTGGCGGAACCGTTTTTAATTGAAGAGGGTAAGGTGACAATTTTGGGTAAGGATCTGGAAATTTCGGGATTTAATTCCAAGCCCTAGAAAGAGCGTGGGTAGGGAAAAAGGTCCTACATCTGAGATCGTGCTATCAAACAACTTCGAAAGAGACAGCTGGGGGCCACGGTTGCCCCTGAGGACATCGCAGGGACGGGGCTCCTTGCGCGCCGGGTCCCCGCCACTTCTCGCAGTCCGCACAGACGGGGACACGCACGCTGCAGCGGAGCTGTCCAGAGCTGGCTCTGGACCGGACCACGTCGCCGCCCAAGGACCGACAGAATACAACATGCCGACACTGGGCCAGCGCCTCCTGCGGAGGGGACCGGGACCGAGCGAGAGCCCGCCGCGGACTCCGGGAGTCGGCACCCGCCGCCACCAGCTCCGGGACGGCGCGGGCTGCAACTCACCATTTCCAAGCTGTCGCGACTCTCCACGGCCCCCGCCAGGGCAACGGAGACTAAGCGCTGCCACCGGAGGGCGTTAAAGGGCAACCGGAGTCTGGGAGCCCGCGGCGACGGAAGCACGTCACACACCCTTGCTTAGCGTGGTCACACTCACCTTCCGGCGGCGCTCCGGAGGGCCCGCCCCCTTCGATTGATTGACAGTCCGGAAAGTCAAATGGTTGAGCAGACACAGCAGGAGTTCCGCTTTCTGCGTGGCAGAGCGGGTTCTGGGTGCAAGGTCAGCCTGGTGTCTTCCTCGGCTGCTTTCTGTGTGAGGAACCCAGGCGTATGCAGGGAATTCAAAGTTCAATTTCCAGATGGAGCGACCCATTAAGGAGCAAGGACAGAGCAGGAAGGTCGCCTAAAACTCATAGATGTACATTTTATGCTAGAAGGAAATTTATTTTGGATAAATTTTTAGGAGTGTCAACTGAAGCTGAAGTACTCTGAAGAAAGTACATCAATAAAATGTACTTGCAGGGGGGCTGGGGAGATGGCTCAGTGGACTAAGTGCTACCCTGGCAAGTACAAGGGCCTGAGTTCAATCCCCGGTTCTACAAAAAAAAAAAAAAAAAAAAAAGAGTACTTGCAGGGCATTTCAAATTGGTTTCCTTAGGCTCTGTTCTGTGTTCCTCACTGCCTCAGTACATTAAGTTTCTGACTCATATCACTAGGCTTCCCCATTTCTGTTTTATGCTGAATTTTTGTGAAGCATCAGAGCAAGGACTGTAGATTGTTGATTCATGGATTGTTGGTGGGCTTGTCCTTGTTGTCACCAGTCTAGGCAAGACATACAACTAGTACAGAGACAACATAAGCAAATTATTACTGTACTCCCACGAAACCATGAAATAGCATGAAAAAGATTAAGGTTTTCAATGCCATTAGAGATGTCTTATAACAGATCAGTATCAGACAATTATGACAATTGCTTTGCAAAAAGTATTATCAATATGTTGCTGAAGAGACAGGATACAAGAGGTAATAGAACCATGATATGATAAACATTTTTTTACATTTTCCCATGGGAAATGGGTTTGATTCCATGATATTGGAGTTACACAGAATTAGAGGCTTTCCAGTCATATTTTAAATAAAGTTGACACTGCAGATTAACAATTTGATCTAGTATAGCAATAGCTTATTCTAAATCATTTATGATTGTGAATTTGTATGTCTTTGTGAAGTCCGTAATTGTTCTGAGTCCTTGTGCCACTGCTGCACAAAGTGAACAGTTTGTACATCTTGGCTCATTGTTATTCCAACTGTAGCAGGTGCTGTGGCTGTTACTGTTATCATTTCTAAAACTATGGCTATCAAGAATTCATTTATTCCTTTTGCTCTCTTTTTTAGCTCCTCCAGCAAAAGTTGGAACAGCATCATGGAAGGAGAATCTTGCCAAGAGCATTGTAGTTGTGCAGGATGCCAAATTCCGACCTTGCCTTAATATAAATGTTATCCCTAGAAAAGTTAAGGCTAATATTTAGACATGTATATAAACAATTGTGACATGTGATGGTATAGTTAGAGGGGTTCCAGTAACCAGGCTCTACAAGCAACAGGTAAGGGAGGTGAACCCATGCCTATGCAAAATATGTGGTGCTAACCAGATTCCTGTGCTTGTTTTTAAGCAATGAAATCCATTCCCAATACAAATAGACTAGCCTTTTCTATTGAGTGGATTTGGAATGGAAGCCCAATAACTAAAATTACCTTTAACACTTGCTAGAAGCAACAACAAAACCACCATAGCAAGAAACAAACTGGTACTATTTTATGTACCAGTTTGAAAATATTTATGCTTACTCATTTTCTAGGTTTTGTCGAGTTGGCACCCAAATCACTTCTGCAGTATTTCTTTTATCCAGTGATGGGCTGCAGCAGAAGATCCATCAGGCAGTTGATTTAAAAAATTTAATGTAAATAGAACCTTTTGAACAATTAATCTGGGGCCAGGGAGATGGCTCAGTGGAATAAGTGCTTCACTGGCAAATGCAAGGGCCTGAGTTCAATCCCCAGTTCTGCCAAAAAAACCCAAACCCAAACCAAACCAAACCAAACCAAACCAAAAAACCCCCCCAATTAATCTAGGTTTATTCATGTGTGTTCCCACATCATTTCCCCCTTTTCATTTAATGAGCATTTCCTTTAAGTTTTTGTTAGCTCATTTTATAATTGTCCATGGATATTTTAATACTTAAGTCCCTATAGAATGTTAACAGACAAAATTTACATATTTTTACACAGAAATTTAGAAATCAAAACCATATACAACATTGTAGTAAGACAATCCTGATGACATTTTGTGATATACTTAAAGTTTTTGTTTTGATATAACACTTTCAACAATCATCTCTATTTAATATATAAAAATATTATTATTTTGTATTTTTAGGGAATGGTCTACAGGGTGTTCAGAGACTCACTACTAGATTGGACTCATAGTGATCTGCCTGTTTCCAGCCTCCCAAGAGCTGGGATTACAGGCATGTGCCACCACTCCCAGTTTCAATTGGTGTGCCTCATGGGGCGAGGCCAGCACGGCAGGCTGAGGGATCGAACCCCTGGCCCCTGCGCCTGCTTACAGGTGCTTTAATCCACCAAGCTCTTTGGCTGGCCCTCATAAATTTTAAATCTAATTAGTCATCCTTAAATGGGATGTACATCACAAGTTTTTTGTTAAAGGCAGAAATTTTAATCTGAGAAAAAGTCTCATCACAATAAGCAGTCTTTGTTTTATACTTTGAAAGACCTGTTCACTTGGAATCATACATACACTTGATATACTTTGACAGTAACAATAATGAATTACCATACACATGTGAAAACCTTTGTTTTAAAATTTAGTTTTGTATCAAAACCATTTATTTTTTATTTTTATTTTTTTAATTTTATTTTTATTTGTTTATTTATTTATTTATTTATTTTGTGTGTGTGTGTGGCCAGCTCAGCCCACCAGGGGGCGGGGCTGGCTGGCATGTGGTGCTGGGGGATTGAAC